TCCAAAAACACACAGCGTACTACGCGGATTTTCTGGAAATATCATCCCCTCCCCCTCCCACCTAAGCTATAGCCGCTCCTTGAAAATTACTGCATAAGGATTACCTACCAGCTATAGTGAAAAGGAATCTACACTGCGCAGCATTTCCTGCTTTGTCTAGTGCTTTGTAAGTGACTTTATAGTCTCCCCATGTCACCTCGCTTCCATTTTTAATATTTGTTGAGAAGAGCTCCACACCCACGTTATCTGTGACATTAACTGACGGCAGGACGAGCTTCTGCCATCTGGCTGTTGATATAATCTTGATATCACCAGGACAGGGACCAATCTTGGGGAGTTCTACATCTGTTCATGTAAATACATAACGTTTGGAAAATACAATCAACTCTCAACAAATCTGCCCTGCAATGGAATCTCAGAGGTGGAGCCAGAATATTTTGTTAATCGAAAAATGACGGCATGTTTTCACATGACGTGACGTCCGCCATATTGGTTTCCTTGTAAGGTGTTAAAACAGATTTGTCCAGATTTTGTCACGTCCAGTGAGAGGCAACTCGCATCGCAAGTTTCATTGTTAAGCTACAAGATGAAAGTTGGTGATCATTTCAAAAAGGAATTCGCCCGTAAGACATTTATATTCATAAGAGTTCGGACCTCTCCGACTAGACCAAGGGCCTGGTTTTTTCTCCATCTGTTATAGACCCTTAGACCACAAAGATAAAAAAAAAGTGTGAACAAAAAAAAACAAAACAAAACAACAACGACAAGTTTTCCCAACATAAAACTTAACCTTGTTTTAAGGAGTATCACAAATGTTATTTTATAAGGCGCAAAATGTGTTTAACTAAGTTCACCTTTAACTCGAATGGAGAAAACACAGTCCACTTTAAGCCCTTCCGAATCAGTGACATCGTATCTGATTAAGTTTGTGCCAACATTCATTCGCTGTGGAGGAAGTAGGCCACTAAGATTCAAGGGTCCTTTAGAGTTGTCGGTTGGAACTGGAACCTGCCACGTGACTATTGCGTATGATTTCCCAGCGGCTGTGGGAGTCTCCATGTTAGGTGGGCATTGAATGCTGGGAGGTTGAATATCTGTTAAAAGAGCAATTTTTTCTTTTTTCTGTTGTAGTTACGTATTTAGAAATAAGTATAGGTAATAGCATGATTTGTAGTGATATTTGGCATAAATACCACTCGTGATATTTCGAAATGTTATACGTAATTTCACGAGCCGTTAGGGGAGTGAAATTTGAGACAATTTTGAAATATCACGAGTGGTATTTAAGCCAAATATCAGGTACAAATCAATCATGCTATTATTTATTTATATTACTACCCGCAAAGGTTTGGTAATTTTCACATGCAGGTATTTCAAATTAAGCTGAAATGCCACTGCTCTAGGCTAATCAAATTGCAGAAATTTCTCATGTAGTAGTATAAAAGCAAAACTACATAGTTATTTTCACAGATGGGAAAAAACGTTTGTTCAAGTGTATCAGTACGCTAAGTACTTGTGCCAGTGCAACCTAAGGTTCAAGCAATAAAGCAAAGGAGATGATCCAAGATTCTACATTTAAAAAAGTCCAATTTTAAGTCATTATCAGCAGCACTTTTGGTACTTACCTTTACAGGTAATATTGCTAATGTTTCCACTCCAAGAGCCATTTGCAAGGCAAGATACTTGCGTGGGACCCTCAAGTTGATACCCGTTTGAGACATCACATTGTAGAAAACAACGTGTCTTATAACTTACTCCCCCAGAAAGACTGCAGGGAGCGGGGCTGATTTTTCCGTTGGCCAGAGCTTTGATGGAAGGGCACTTAACAACTAGATAGAAAATAATTCCAAGAAATACGTTTAATCACATTGGCCGTTTTTATACTAAGGACGCATTACCCGTCTGGACGAACTTAGGCAAACTTTTTGTAGTTCGTCTGGGTATGTGTCTCTAGTATAAAGAAGAGCACAAGACGCATTATGCGTCCAGAGGAACTACCTTTCGTAGTACGTCGTTCAAGACGTATTTCGAAGGAAAGTTCGCCCAGACGCATAATGCATCTTGTGCTTGTCTTTATACTTAAGACGCATAACCAGACGAAATACAAAAAATTTGCCCAAGTTCGTCCAGACGGATAATGCGTCTATGGCCGTTTTTATACTTAGGACGATGTCACTGATTGACGGATAATGCGTCGTCTAGTATAAAAACGGCCATTACCAGGCTTTTTGCCGTTTATTGTACCAAAATAGAAGCCGACGAACTAAAGAAGGGAATTCGACTAAAGAAGTGTTTCTTTGTTTTATTCATTTTTTCATAATTTTAGTTTCTGTATGAAAAAATGAAAGAGCTAGAATATAACATTGACAGTTAGGAAAAAAACCTCGGTTTCAGGAATACGATCAGAAATTTATTTGTGACTTGGTTTTTTAGATCAGTTTACTTTACCAGCTCTCAGCGAGGCCCGGAAGAAGTGGGCTGGAAAGCAAGTGTTCGTGATGGTTCGTCTACACACTTAGAATACCCACTGACAATCAAAAACATTTTTAAAAATTGTTGTTACTGTTTAAATGTTACACAAAGATCAACGTGCATCATGGCGCCTTATCATCGGCGTAAATTAATGCATCAACAACTGAGTTCGTTTAGGAACCGTTATCAGTTGTCAAAGTAAAGTATGAGTTGCAATTAATTTATTGCAAAGGATATGCTGTGTCTGACTCGTCCCCAGTGGTCTACGCGTGACGCGCGGCGGGAGCAGGGGGTAATGGGAAGGGAGAAGAGGTGACTGGAAGACTCTCTCTCTCTCTTTTTCCTCCTTCACATCACACCCCGCGCGCCACGAGGAGAGGTTGTGATAGATGACTGGGGACGAGACAGATGCTGTGTTTTCTTAAGGTTCTTACTTTCACAGGTAGTTGTATTGCCTGACCAAGTACCATTTGCTTCACATGACCGAATTCGTAAGCCAACCTGTCGATGTCCCTCGTTACAAGCGATAATAGCTTGAGAACCGTAGGCAGATCCACATGAAAGAGAAGTTATGGCGCCATATAATGGCGGTTGAAGGACCAGGCACGACCTTTCTGCGAAAATGAACACAAAATACTTTAAACATATAGCTTATTAATGTATGTTGCAGGTACCTTACTGAGGGGTTGAATGCTGCACAGACATAGAGACATTGTCCCAAGAGGAACGATGAGATATGGATTGACTGTTGTACAAGGCTCCTTAGATCAGCCTTAAATATTTCATTTAAAGATTTTTGACCAAGTAAGGACTTTATAAACACATTCCATCAATTACTACGTCTTTACAAGACCGTAAACTTGATTTCTGTGGGCATCTCATAAGTATGAGGTCATTTCAGCAGGAGGACATGTTACATTCCCGGGTTATGCCCTTTTATTCTTGGATTCCTCCCTTTAGCCCTCTTTAGATCGCAAAATACTAAGCATTAATGCGTAATTCTCCCCTATTTATCCCGCATTCCGATGTTTTAAAACTCTTCCTACTGCTCTTTCCTCTCCCGCTTTCCGTATCCCTCCTGGCCTTATTCTCCCGATATCCCGCCTTCCTGTCCTCCCCACATTTCCCCGAAAGGTGATATTGATGTTGCCATGCAATCCCTTACACACTATAAAATATTTAAATAGTTTGTTTGAGCGTGCCAGTGGCCTGCTGTAGGGATATTTATCTTCCATGATGGAGTAGTGTAGGCGGTGAGCACGTTTGTGTAAGATAGGAGTCATAAGCAATTGAAGCAACTACATATCGATAAATGGCATTATTATCCATTCAAAATATTTCCCTGTTTCTGATTGGTTAAAACCACACGCATAATTCGCTATAACCAGCCGTTGTTGACCAAATTTGGAAAGAATTTTATCATCTTGAACCGAAGACATCAAAATGACGTCAAAAGTGCAGCCTGGTTGCAGATTATTGAACCGTTGACCAAGAAAACCTGGGGACGAGATTAAGTTGTTTTGGTAGTTAGAACAAAATGGAGGAACTGTTTCGGAACGTTTTACTCGTTTCACGGCGAAATATTGTTTAAAAACATCGCAAGAACAGCAAGAAGACAACTCAAAGGACAACATCTGCTATTTGGAGTATATTTGCAGACCTGAGCAGACCTTAATCTCCTGAACTTCCCGATAAAGATGCATTATCGATATGAACTTACATCGACCGAGGTTAGCTTGTTTTAGCTTGTTTTTAAACTTGGAGTTATTTTGAAGGGATAATAAAAGAATTATTGATGGGTATATTTACTTATGACTTGCACCACAAAGCTGCAGTTTGCTCTGTTTCCCTCGGCGTCTGCTGCAGAATAGTGAACATAATGCAGACCAATACTTAGATTGGCTGGAGGACGCACTGCTGAGTAGCTTAAGGTCATGTCACCAGAGTTATCTCTTGCTATTGGTTCATTCCACGAGACCAAAGTACTGGACGAACACTTAGGAACAGAAACGACCATGTTTCTTGGACAACTGCCGTTAAAAGAAGGAGGCGTATTGTCTGAAAACAACCAGATTTTGTTTCGACAAAGATCATGTTAAATTTAAGGATAATAATAAAGAAAACAAGAGAAGGATGCGCATAGACAGTTTTAAGCGAGATTTATGTCTTATATGTCTTTCACTTCTTCCTAATTTATTCGAGTCCATGGAACAGTAAACCTGTGGTAGTTGTCTGTAAAGATTTTGCTTAAATGGGATAGGTCCTTTTTGATGCTATTTAGTTTTTACGTACATCGATTTTTAATCTCACTTACTATAGAGATAAATAACGGTTAAATAAATAAAGGCAAGTTATTACTCTCAGCTGAGTTTTATAAATTTTTCTGGCCAGAAATAGGTTACTTACTGGTCGAATCATTGAACTACTCTTACATTCATGGGGAGTTATCAACCTCGCAGAAAGAAGCTATAATAACCCTCATAGAGAAGAAAGACAGGGATTGACGAGTTATCAAAAATTGGAGGCCGATACCTCTAGTAAACGTAGGCGTTAAAATAGGCTCAAAAGCTGATCGCAAAGAGATTAGGAAAAGTCCTGCCATATGTAGTCCATCAGGACCAAAATCTTTCGTGAAAGGAAGAACGATTTTTGATGCCGTTGGAATAATAAGCGACGTCATGGATTATACGGAAATGGAGGGATATGAAGCGATAATGTCCGCCATAGACTTTAAGAAGGCTTTTGACTCCCTGAGTTTGGACTTGCTTTTTAAATCTCTTCAACGATTTGGGACAGTTTTTAATTGCATCTTAAAGATTTATGCAGAGATTTTTCAGTTAGATTGGGAAAGAGTGTACTCATTATTTTTCAAAATAACGCTGGACACAAAGTTAAGAGAGTTTTAATCCAAAATACTTCATAGAATCTGTTACACAAATGTCATGTTGTTCAAATTTGTTTTATCTAAAACTCTATTACACTACTTCTGCAATGAAGAATTAGAGACACTAGAACATTTCCTCTTTCACTGCGAAAAGGTTAACACTTTCTGGAATGAGGTTAACACTATTCTTAAATCGCAAGACCTAGTCTCAACCAACTTCGACATTAAGGATAGGTTATTTGGCCATTTTTGCTGGGATGATGATGACAGTATTCTTGCTAATTATATTATTCTCGAGAGTAAATATCTTTATTTTTTGTTCAAAATATATCATCCCTCTCGACTAGCCTTTTATTTGCAAAATGCAAAAAACATACCAAATAGTACGTTTCATTGTGAACAAAAATAACAAACTCCACTTCCACAATAAAAAATGGGAACCTCTACTGCTGTTGATGGAACTTTAGCTATCACCACGCTTCACCGACAACAATTTCCACCAATGTAGCTTTTCTTATTTGTTTCTTCAAGTGACGCTTGCCTAGTGTCTAGTGTTTAGTATTTAGTGTTAGTGTATAGCGATGTAGGTGTGTTAACTTGTGTTTTTGTTTAGCGTAGTAATGATGTTAAAAGTAGTGATTAATGCTTCGTTTCCTCGGCTCTCGGCTTACATGCAGTTTTATTTACTGTAATTTTTTCTCTAATTTTTCTTCATTTTATTTCATTATTATTTTTTGCAACCGCTGTAAAAAATTCTATAATAATAACAATAAAAAAACCTGGCAACAGGTTAAAAGCAAAAAAAAAGTTTTCGTAGTGTAACAGTTAAAGAAGAAATTACTCCGGATACCTCGACAAAAAGTGTCCTTGTTCCCAGTCCACTTTCCGTTCTTGTCACATACCCTTGTCGAAGTGCCCTCTAGAACGTAGCCTGATGTCTTGCAGGAAAAACTGCAGGACTGGCCGTAAGTGCTTCTTGATAAACACGAACGTGGAGACACCGCACCATTTGCAGGAGGCGTGATTGCACTGCAGTTTACCACTGCAATATGTGATTTAAGAAAAAAAAAAAATTTCCTTCATAGGCTATTTTGAGATTGAGAGTGGGCCGATGTTGTGTCGAATTGCACCATGGGATTGTTTATCTAGTTTATTCTCTTGGCGACTGCAGTTGCGAAGGAAACTGGATCAAAAATAGTCCCCAAAACAGTCCCACAACGCAATTTGAGACAACATCGTCCCAGCCTTTCAGCGCGACTTCAAAATGGCCGACGTAGCATTACTTTATTCAGAAAACAAAAAGCGTCCACAAAAAAGCGTCGCGCTTAATACATTCGCCGCCTGTAATTTACTTTCCTACTACAGGCCGTGCAGCCGATGTGTGAGTGCAGTGTCGTGAAAAAGCAGTCACTACTTTAGTATCAAAATGCCTTCCATAACAACACCCACCACTGGGAAAGTTTCATATCTGAATCAACATGAACGCGTTAACTGAATGACATGCGAATGTGTGAGTCAAAAATTTGAGGCACACTACCCAGGAGAAGGCTTTATTTTTGTCAATTTAACTCGGGGTAGAACGCCCACCCCCACAAATTGAGGAATACAAAGGACAATATTTATGATAAAAACCTCTCCCCTACAGCGTTTAATTTAGTTAAGTTAGCCAATTTTGTCATCGTAAGAAATACCTCCTCTATGAGCGGTGTCATAATACTTACCTTGACAAGTTGGAGCCACCCCACTCCACGTTCCATTTTCCAGGCACTGTCTCCTTGACGAGCCGGTCAAATTGTAGCCAACATTACAAGAGAAGCTACAAATTGCGCTATAGCGTTCGGACACTGGGTCAGTACAGCCACGTTTTATTCCATTGATTAGATCTGGATAAGATGGGCAGGTAATTTCTAATGAAGAAATAAATTTTAAACACTCGTCTGATACTTTTGAAAAAAGGATTATACAGAACACTAGTTTGCGGAGTAAACCGAATAGGGTGGGTGTCGAGCTACCATGCGAACTTTTATGCAGTCGTTCGCATGGCTTATTAGTCCAAGGACTTCTTAAATGCTAGAAGCCGTGAAAGCGGGAAAGAAAGCTCTGCTCACAGTTCTACTATCCGTATAACATATTCAAATAGAGATGAACAGCATGACGTCAGCATCCTACCATGAAAACGGTTTAAATGGTTTCCAAGCGTCTATTGCTTCCATATTGAAATAGAGATGAAAAGCACGACATCAATATTGTACCCTGAAAACGTACCCTGGCATACAGGAATAGGACTGTCCCAGACTCCCGGAGGGCTGTTACCAGGGGCATTGCATGTCACCGTTGAAGACCCATTCAAACGGTATCCAACGGCACAGGAGAAGTTACACCTTGAGCCATAATGATCACCACAACTGTCCATTTGTAAAGGACCTCCAGGACTAACTCGTAGAGATGTGCAATTGATCACTAACCAACAAGAGATACAAAAGGGATATCACTATTATTGCTGTTGATAAACACCTAGAATAAGACAAAACGACAGTCAAACAAAACGTTAACTAAGCGTATTCAAGGGTAAGGGCCCTCAGTTAATTCAGTCACAGATATAGCACGTAAATCCAAAGTTTTAACTTCGAGCGGTCTGAAATGCCCCAGGTCGAAACCTCAGGAAGTGCAGTGGACTGCACACGCTGACGGACAAAGAACAATTAAACGGAGCTAATGAATATTATTGGATACAGTCTTTGTTACCTAAAATGATGACTGAAAACGCGCAGTTGGCTATGTTTCCTGATTGGTCCACAGCTGTGTAGGTGATCAAGTGAGTTCCTTGACTGAACCTTGTTGGCGACTGGTAATTTGACGTCACTGATTTGACAACTCCTGAGTTGTCAGTGGCAACCGGCTGGGTCCAGTTCACCAGGGCAGAAAGCATTTCTCTCTCGGCATAGGCTAACAATGTTTTTGCCGGGCATGTTGCACCAAAGTTTGGGGGTTGAGTGTCTTTAGAAAGAAGAAAACAAATTGCCTAAAATAAATACCATTAGAACAGGCCTTGACAACATGTCAATCATGAACCAAGCTAACAAAATAATGAGATCATATTATGAATTATAAAATAAGAAAACTGCTCTGTTCTTTCGTGGTGGGAAATCGGAAAGCGTTACTGGAAAATGATGGTTTTTAAATTGGGCTTCCAAGTAAACTAGTTTAGCCGTTGCTTTAGTTTGAATGACTTTTGTTCAGCTATAAGAGCTTTGATCCAGGCAAAATTGTCTAGGATTACATTCTGTTATGTAACAACCTGTGCAGTTTATGTTATTTCCACTCCATTGACCGTTCAGCAAACACGTTCTTGTGACATTTCCGGTGAAGCTAGTATAACCACTTTGGCAGGAATATCGGCAACCTGATCCATAAGTACTTCCACAGGAAGGGGTCAGCAAAAGGGATTTGGGTGGAGTCACCAGAGGGGGACAAATGACCGCTGACATGTAGAAAAAAAAAAGAAATTTTTTTACATACTTGTGATAGTTAAATGACATCTGATGCACTGCAAACAAGGCAAAAAAAAATTAAAGACACAAAATGGGCAAATTATGCCAATCAGGTCTCCAGCCTAAACCATGCTTTACCATTTATTCATGCTCAGAAGGTCGCTTTTACCTGATATTTTAAGGGTTCCTTCAATTGCAAATTCGTGTAGAGGACATAATACAGTGTTAGCTCCTTTAACGTATCATACCGATTTGTCTTAAACGTTTCCACTTGTAGTTGAAGTTTGCTAGATCTTAAATTTCTTAGATGTCTTCCGTTTTGTGTTTAATTGTTTTCGCAAAGAGAAGGGATAACTTGCAGGATTGTAAGTCTGACCCGAAGAAACAATTTAAACTAGTATTGATTAACCAAAGGTTAGGAAGTGAAATTCAATCGCTGTGCTTTGCGTAAGCTTCGCTTGATAGAAGGTCCAAAGGCGCGTGATTAGATTGCGTTCTATGCGTTTTTCCTTTTTTCTTAGTAGAAGCCCAAACAAGTGCTGGCTACATACTTACCGCACATGCGTAATAGCAATCTTTTATAGATTAGGACTGCAGGCTTCTTTGGTTGTCTTCAATTACTACACTCTTGCTAAGGGACTGGTCAAAAAGTATAGGAGGGGGGGTGGGCCGGAGCAGAGAGGGGGTGGGTCATGAGGTTTTGAGCCTTGTGCAAGGGGTGGGTCGTGCAATTTGCAGCTACCCTTAGGGGGTGGGTCACCCTATTTTATTACATAAATAAGCACTAACTGTACTAACGAGACAGTTGACCACACTTGTTATATAAAACACAGCCAGCTGGAATTATTGCTAAAATACTCACAAACCTGTTGTGCGAGAAAATGCAACGGGTGACAGACCGCACATCCCGTGAACCCTTTGTTAACCTTTTTTTTTTGGCTCTAACAAGCATCTCCTTTAATGATTTTCCTTTTTTGTAAGGAGATGATTGGTGGTTCTTTAAAAATTTATTAAAGTTATGGTTGGCTTTGTATAAGATTCCATTTTTATTATTCAAGCTTCCTTTATAGTAGACACTGAGGGTTGGTATTGTGTCACAAATGGCAATAAATCTTTTTCCTCCTTGTAGGTTTTGTTTAAGGAGTTTAGACTCGTTTTTGTGAATTTTATTTCTGATAGTAGGTCTTCTATCAAAGTTTGTGGGTAGCCTCCGTCCATCAAGCGTTTTTTGAATTATTTTCCTCAAAGGTTGTTTCTGAGGAGTTTTTTCGTAGGATTCTCAAGGCTTCTCCTTTGACAAATCCTTTTTTAACACTTGGAGGGTGACACGAGGTGAAATGTGTGTGCAAGAAGGTTTCCGTTTGTTTAAAATGTGTCTTTGCATCAAGGATAGATTTTTCTTGAATCTTGTGCCTTTGTATACAACCGTGTCTAAAAACGCTGCATCTCAGTGTCAAATGTTTCGGCCATGAATTTAATAGTTGGGTGATGTAAGTTTGCTTGTTCAATGAAGGCTTCGATGTCTGGTTTACTCATGTCCCATAGGGAAAAGACATCGTGTATGTAGCATTTCCAAACTGTTGTTCTAAAGACAGTTTTGCTTAGAGTTGTTGTTTCAATATATTATATATGTCATGAAAATAATGGCAAAGGAATCAAAACTGCTGTCTTTGTGCCCATTACAGTTCCATGGTTTTGTAGGTAGTGCTTTCCATTGAGGTGGAAGATATTTTCTTTGAGGATTAATCTAAGAATTTCCGGCAAGTAATGTGTAGGAATGGGTTGTCTTTGTAGAAATTTTCATATGCGTTGTGACAGACAATTTCAATATACCCTCGTTTTGCTGTATATTTGTGTCAAGACTCATAACGTCCATCGAAACAAGAAATGTTCGGTTTTTCACATTTGTCTTTTCAGTGAAAGGTATGATTTCTGTGATTTTGATCCGAGTTGTAGCAGTGTATAAACAAATTTTGTCAAGCACAGAACAAGGTTAGGCAATCCTCTTTTTTTTCTCCGTTTACCGTCGTCCGACCGACCCAAATATGTGAATGTTAACTTTAAACGTCGTCCTGGGGTACCAGGGCCCACTATTCCGAGACTTCTTGTGATTTTTTTTAAAGTTTTTTTTTTATCAATCCGACCGACCGACCCAATATCAGGAAACGCATTCGACGGTAAACGAAGAGGAAAAAGGGGATGGCCTTAGAGGAAACCAAACATCCATGTTTTAACTAGGGGGTGGGTCATGCAATTTCCAACCTTGCTTTAGGGGTGGGTCAGTCATTTTTGTGCCGAAGGGAGGGGGTGGGTCATGTGTTTTTTATCAACCACATTTCCATATGCTCCGGCCCACCCCCCCCTATACTTTTTGACCAGTCCCTAAATTTCCAGCGTCATAAATTTAACGAAAGCTTATGCCGAATGCGCTAATAATATTCTTACCTTGGCAAACAAAATCTTGGCCACTCCAACTTCCGTTCTGAAGGCATGTCCTAGATGAGGAGCCCAAACTGACAAAACCGGGATGACAGGAAAACTGGCAGACAGTGTTGTAGGTTTCTGTGGATGCGCCTGAGCATCCCTGACGGGTACCATTGTAAGGTGTTGGTAGGGCGGGACACTTGACAACTGAACGAAATATGAAGTGGACATTTATCCATCAGGTTAGTAGACTGCGAACCCGGGGGATACTTTAGGAATTTTGGGGGACCCTGGAACCCTTAGCCTATACCAGAGCTAGTTCAGCAGATTTTCCTACCCTATACTATACTAAACTCCCCAAATCTCCCCTATCCTAGAGTAGCTGTTTTCCAGGAACTACTGAGGTCACTAGTACAGTCTAGCCAAAACAAAACCGATTTGATTTTCTTATATTTTCGTGTGGCAATTCCCGGTTTCCGCCCTAGTCTAGACTAAAATCGGAAACCATTTGATCAGTTTCTTGGAAATAGTCCGGTGGCTTAGTGCAAAATTTTGGCGAGATCTATACAGAGCGGACAAAAGCACCAAACTTTGCATGGTGCATCTTAGGGTATGTAAGTCAATATTAGGATCGGTGCCCACAGCCACCTCTTCAGGATTTGTAGCAACTGCTCGCTGAAGTTGTTAAACAACCTTCCATGATGGGTGCTCTGTGCCGAAAATATGAATCACTTGTTTTTTGCCATTTTTTGATGAAAATCACATAAAAAGGGAAGTAAATGGAAAAAGAAACTGTATTAACACTATTATTATTGAAACCAATGACTAAAACAAGTGAACTTAATGATATAGCAATTATGACGTACATGGTGGGTGCCCTGTGCAAAAAAATCAATTCCTTTTTTTTGCCATTATTATTATTATTATTTTTCATGTACTGTAAGTATCTACTAGAATAAATTGCCATTTTTTAGGGGAAATTGTATACAATTTGAATCACCACAGGTTTAAGTGAATTTTAAGTTCTTCTTGGTGATAAATTTGTTATCGAAAACCACATTTTCTCTTCACATTTTGTGCCGATTATGAATGACTATACTGAGTTTATTTTCGTACTGGTTAAAATTAATAATAGTAAAAATAGCTTCTTTCTAGAACGCCCATATCCTGAGCACATGGTGTTTTACAATGTTAAAGAGGAAAAAAAATTATATCTCGAGCATGAAGTAACATGTATTAAAATCTATTTGCAATTCACAAAGAACAAGAGAAGGAAACAAGAATTCATCTGTTCTAAAATTATTTTGCCTTTAAAGTTTATATATAATGATAATAAGTCGTGCAAAAAACTAAATATACATTCTATAAGTATAGGTATATGATCTGCAGATATTTACAAAAGTACTGACTTACTCTCTAAAAATTGCGTAAAAAGATATGTTCTCAGTCCTTCGTTTCAACTGGCTAAAGATGGTGACTTGTGAAAATCTAGCTAATGGTAGTGAGTTCCACAGTTTAGGGGGGCACACTGAAAAAGTCTTTTCCCCGTGAGTTTTCGAGGTTGTTCTAAGAGCTGCTGAGATGCGGACCACAAGTTCCTGGAAGGCCTTCGATAACTGTCCGCTAGATAGCTAGGTGGAAGGGTATTAAGTGATTTGAAAACTGACAAAATAAGTTTAAAAACAACATGATAACAGGAAGCCAGTGAAGGTCAAATAAATGATGTGTTCGCAAAGTTTACGAGTCCGAGTAACGATCCTAGGGGCAGTGTTCTGAACATATTATCAAAAGTTCCTTCAAGTGCATTTTCCTACAACCATAGAGCAAAGAATTGCAATTTATAGTCTGTTTTAGATGTAATAAAAACATGCACTGCAATTTCGCTAGACTCCTGTGTGAGACACTTTCTTATCTTTGATAAATTCCTGAGTTGGTGAAACGATAATCTGCAAAAGAATGCTGAGATGTGTGCGTCAAACAGCAAGTTGTCATCAAATACTACTCCCAGGCTTTGTTGGTGGTGGTTCTTAGCCTTGCATTACCCATAATGACGTCGCTAAAGGGTGGACGAGTACGGTACATCGACAAGATAAGCATGATTTCAGTGTTATCATGATTGAGTTAAAACTAGTTTCTACACACCAAGATGGAATTCAGTTGGGATCGTTGTCATATTTACCTAGGGTGAGAATCGAAAAGAGAGGATCTGAGAAACCCATTGATTTAACGGAACAATTATTTATAGACCGCTCCTTGACAATCTACTAGAATTCAAGAAAGAGGACTGTGCCGTCTTGTTGCAATAGACCTTGTTACGGTTTTCGACGCCATCTTGATGAGTAGGCAAACACGTGAGAAATTGCAGTGTTTGTATGAGAATCCAATGTAGAATAATTTCTGTAAAACGGCTGTTCTGAAAAAAATATCAATTGTAAACTAAAGCTACAAAGCAAAGGATTGTTCTAAAAAATTTGGGGGGCGTACCTGTGCTTAAATTTCTCCAGAGGCTTGCTTTAGCTTTTCCATATATTTGTCTGTAATTTTCCCGGGACTTTCTTACAGACAAATGTATAGAAAATTTTAAAAAGTGGTTCTAGGTCTTCTAGGGCATGTAACGCCCTCAAATTTTTTCAGGAGAATCCTTAGGAGTGAAGCTTTAGTTTACAAATCGTATTTTTTTTCAGAACAGCTGTTCTACGGAAATTATTCGACATTAGATTCTCATACAAACACTGTAATTTCTCACTTGTTTGCCTACTCGTCAAGATGGCGTCGAAAACCGTGACAAGGTCCATTAAGTTTCATATTGAAATCACTACAGTAGTAAACACGTTACTGAAGTGCAAAGTGGCATCAATCCTGTCACCTTACGTCCAAGTTAGAAAAAGCAAACTAGAAAAGAGAAAAACGCATGTTGAAGCAGATCAGAAACAGCCAGTTGGAGATTGTGGCACCAAACGAGCTTGTAAGACTGACACTAAAGCGGGACTGCAATGTGTGTGCCTCTGTTTGTAACGAATACAGCTTAATATGAAGTTCGGCAAGTATAAAGAAACGTGTATCATTGTCCACTGCATTTGCTCTGTACTCAGTGAGTTCAACAAATGCTCTTGATTTATTTAATTTCTCGTCTTCCTCGACCTTCCAAGCTGCTCCACTTTTCTTCTTGCGTTTCTCTGACATGTATGCCTATTTCGCACTTCAGCCTTTTTAGTACATTTTCAAGGAGCGTTCTATAAATTAATGCTTGTACCGTTAAACCAGTGGGCTTCTCAAATCTTCTTTTGTTGATTCTTGGCAAATATGACAACGATCCCAGTTAATATCCATCCTGGTGCGTAGAAAACATCTCAGCTTCAGAAACCTTTAACTAACCAGTAAGTCAATAAACTAAGTATAGTCATTCATAATCAGCACAAAATATGAAGCGAAAATGTAGCTTTCGATAACAAATTTATCCCCAAGAAGAGCTGAAAACTTCACTTAAACCAGTCGTGATTCAAATTGTGCACAATTTACCCTAAAAAACGGCAATTTATTCTAGGAGATACTTACAGTCCATGAAAAGACACCTTCAAGCCGCCATCTTGAAAGGCTATTTGGGACACGTCTGAAAACATCTTCCTTGAATTTTCCATTTAGTTGATTTGTTTTTGTCATTGGTTTCAATAATAATACAATTTCTTTTTTTATTTTCTTGTCTTTCATGTGATTTTCATCAAAATAATGCCAAAAATCAAGGAATTGATATTTGTAGCACAGGATATCCACCATGGTATATCATAATTGCTGTATAATTAAGTTGACTTGTTTTAGTCATTGGTTTCAATAATAATAGTGTTAATACAGTTTCTTTTTCCATCTACTTCCCTTTTTATGTGATTTTCATCAAAAAATGGCAAAAAACAACTGATTGCAATTTTCGGCACAGGCCACCCATCATGGAAGGCTGTTGAAGAACTTCAGCGAGCAGTTGCTGCAAATCCCGAAGAGGTAGCTGTGGGCACCGATCCTTATATTGACTAACATGCCCTAAGCTACAACCATGCAAAGTTTGGTGCTTTTGTCCACTCTGTATAGATCTGAGTCTTTAGCCACCTGACTATAAACGATACCCTATTCTAGACCCAAACTTCCTGATTAATGTACCCTATCCCAGAGTAAACTGCTTGAAAACCATGCCCTTCACAGCAGCACATACCCATATAGCCCATACATGGCAGTACCCCCGTCCCATTCCCAGGGGCCTGCGAAGCAGTCATCTCTATTACCTCTTAGCCAAGCTAGAGAAACGCGGGAGACACAGACTAAAACTGTGAAAGGCTTGAACCCAGGAGTCATTTCAAAAGTAGGTTGTGTTTGTCCGTCCGGGTAAACGTAGTCCTGAACAGGACAGTTGTTGTTGACAGTGACTGACGTTTCGACAACCTGTGCGGTAGTCATCTTCAGAGTCAACGTGAGTTGTATCACGGTTGATGGTATTATACTCTGGTTGTTGATCTGATTGGTCAATTATGTCGCGATGTTATTGGTCGTCTGTCAGTTAAGCCGTGATGTTATTGGCTACGAAGACCCGTAATTGGTGCGTTTCGATCCGTCTATTGTCACAGTTAAACAGTCGTCTATTGTTAATCAAATTGTCAGTTCTCCGGTCTTTCTTTCGTAGTCAGTTTTGCTTGATCTCGTCAACAAGTCGTTTGTACGGTGCTGGTAATTGTTGGCTACAATTCAGTGGCGTTTGTTCTAAGTTAGTAAGCCAGCTTTCTAAAGTAAGACATTGATAGTAGTCTGTAGAATACGTGCTAAGGTTTCTGCCAGTTTCAGCAATGTAAGAAGCCTGGCAGTCGCAGCATTTGATCTTGGACACTGCTCCCTGTCTGTCCTCGGGTTTGTCTTTGTCCTTGACATTAGTAAGTAGTCGTCGTAAAGTGGTTATCGGTTTGTGTGCAACACGTATATTGTAAGGTTGTAATATACGTGCGATAGTTTCAGATGTGCCCCTGATGTACGGTATAGTCACTTTCGTAACAGGACCAGAGTTGACGTTGGTCTGAGTGTTTGAATCAACGTTACTGTGAGTGTTCCGTCTAACAAAGTTCGCGTTGTAATTGTTCTTACTAAAAACGTTGTTAAGATAACCAGTCTCGTCTTGTAGGCTGTCAGGCGAGTCGCAAACTAGTTGCGCTCGTCTCGTCAAAGTCCGGATAGTAGTAGCCTTGTGAGAGATCGGGACTGGTCTAGTAATCGGTCGGTATGTGTCACGGCTTAACTGACAGACGACCAATAACATCGCGACGTAATTGACCAATCAGATCAACAACCAGAGTATAATACCATCAACCGTGATACAACTCACTTTGACTCTGAAGATGACTACCGCACAGGTCGTAGAAACGTCAGTCACTGTCAACGCCAACAGTCCTATTTAGGACTACGTTCATTCGGACGATCAAACACAACCTACTTTAGAACAGACTAAGTTGCGGGGATTCAAGATTTCAGCTGGTCGTTACCAGGTCTTTACCTTCTGCTCTGTAAACTATGTTACCTCGACTTACCAGTGCACTGTGTTTGTACTCCAGTCCAACTACCATCGCCTTGGCAAGTCCTGGTGCTTGCACCGCTCAGCAAATATCCCTGGTCACATGAGAATACACAGGATTGCCCCGGCAAATTAGAACAAGGCAACAAACTACCATGCACAGGTGTAAACAGTTGAGGACAGCGGTTCACTATTTAATGAAGAAAGGAGAACGCTTTATTAAATTCCAACTCCAAAGAGCATTCCAGTCTCCTACTTTCATCACCTGTGATCGAGGACCCTCTTTTCTGAGTACTGGGTGCGCTTCCCAACGTGTGAGACATGAAAACACTGTATACCTTGTAATATCCAGACTAATAATATTCCAGCATGCTTTCAAGAAAAAGTGGAATACGATTCTGAACTCTCAATTTTACAGAATGGTCAGCAGGCAACAAGCTTTAAGTTTTCTTATTACTTTAAAAGCGTGCAATCACATGAAAACAGGAAACCGAGATTAGAAAGAACGACACTTTCAATATAACTCCCACTGTGGTAGTGTTGTGAAGTATTTTGAAAGTTATTTTTAAGACAGATCTATCTTAACTTTTGAGTTTAGTTTTTGCTTCATTAAGTCTTTGTTTTTGTCCACGTACTGTTTTCCTGTTTTGATCTTTTGTTTTTACTTGTACTTGAAGTTATACTTAGCTCGCGAATTTACTTGTTGCCATATTAGGAATGTTACAGGTGGTCGTGTTTGTGGTGTTCGAGCTGACCTTCGTTCTTTGGTAATTATCAGCTGCGGCTGTGCGTAGGCTGATCTATTCCCTGACAATAGCAAACCTATTGCAGTGTGTGCGATAAGAAATACAATAGACACTCTTCCGATCAGCTAACCTAAACATGTCCAGCTTTGGCTATTAAAAACCGCTACTATGCTTGAACTAGTAGAAGTTAGTAGAGAGTAGGAAAAGTAGGGAGAAGTAGAGTAAGCAGAAGTTGTAAGAAGATTAAGAAGAATAAAGGCCAAGATGTAAATCAGATTCCTGGTACCTCGTCGTGTAGCGAGCGAGTTGCTCGAACACACCCCCACAGTAGTATTAAATGAACATAGCCCCTGATGCACCTAAGATAAACTGCATGTTAACTAAGTCTATCACGGTGTTTTAAGCACAGATCAGAGCTGCTAGGGGATTGCGCAAAAAAAGAAAAGGAAAAAGAAAAAGAAACAAAAAAAACCCCTAAAAAACACTAGTCTTTTTTGGGGTCATTCTTACCTCCTTGACATGTCGACGAGTCACCAGGTTTCAATTGTACCCCATCCGGACAGAAACACTGATGACCGTTTGGGTTTGGCAGGCAAATGTGACTGCAGCCTCCATTCAAATGAGAACAGTGGGTAGTTCCTGTGTGAATGCAAGATGCAAACAGGCGTGAATATTCAGGGTAAATACAAAACAAAGGTCGCTGACCCAGCTTGTAGTTTTAACAATGAACAGAACGTTTGGTTTCGCTCTTGGACATGGCAAACGTCAACTTTCTGGCTATAGTTAATACCGGGGTCCCCTCTACAAACTATATTCTGGCAAAGAGAAACTCTCAACGATTTTTTTTTGCAAAATTTCTTCACTACTTCCCTCTTACGAAGTAGAGGACGATACTATAAGAGAGATGAAAAAATATATCGCTCTGAGAGGGTCTCAATAGCTTTAACCGTCAGCCGTCAAACAGCCTAAAAATTAACGACCAACCGTTAAAAAAGTCATTTTTACCGTCAACCGTCAAAAATGCAGATTAATTAAGGTTTAAGGTATTTCAGATATCACTCTTTCGGCTGATCTTCCCTGGATTCTGGCTCCTGAAGAATCTCCAAACTAGAAAAACAAGTTCACATGTTCTCAAAAACACTTTTCCTAGATATTACAATACTTTGCAATCTGCTTATATCTGAAAATATTTCCAAATTTTATAAGTGAAAGGCCAAGACAACCTTCAAAACACAAAAGTTAATATCAATTCATACAGAAGTTACTATTTACTTCAACTTTTAGACTACATTTCCACTTAATAATCGTGAACCGTCAAAAGCGCTGTAAAATTTAACCGTCAATCGTCAAAACTGGAAAAAATATCGCAAAGTCTTTGAGACGAGATTTACCGTTTTTAATGACGCTTCTTTTACCAGGGTACGTAATGCAGCTAATATTATTGAAAAGGTGCTATCTTCACTGAGTTGACTAAATTGTTAGAAATGGTATTTGTTGCTGAATGGACTGTGAATTATTCGTGGTTTTGTCTTTGTAAAATAGTGAAAACAGCAAAATTTCTAAGGGACACCCACCCGAAGTTGTGCTACTTTTGTCATATATGTGGATTTCCATGGGTCTTCCCATTCCTTGGACCAGAACATCAGTGAGGGAAGACGTCATATTATAGCTATGAACACTTTTTTTAATCCAGTCTGTCCAAAACAGCGTATCCTCGAATAAGGCGAGTCCGAAAGGATGATAACTATCCTTATTAGACGACAAATCCAGTATTAGCACGCGGTTATTCCCTTGAAAGTCCACTCTTTCAATTTTGTCGAGTTTTGCATCACACCAGTAGAGCAGCCTATTTTTGAAGTCCAAAGCGAGTGAGTTCACCCATGACAAACCGGAACTAACCAGAACGGTCCTTGCTGTGCCATCCATGTTTGCTTGTTCGATCTTTGGTGAGGCTCCCCAGTCGCTCCAATACATCTTTCTAAAATAAAAATCAAGACAGACCAGAGAGGTCAAAAGAGAGATAAAGAATAAAGGGAACATGTCTTAAAAGGACGTTGGGAAACAAGTCATTATCTTATGGTGATTTCTGCGGCCGTTAGTCACGCGTTTTTGAAGTTAAGGGTATTTAAGGGTTCATCCGCCATTTTGATTAAAATTAACTAGGTTATCTGTCATCTATGTCTGTTTATATTAAGGTTTGTTCTTTAGGATTCAATATTTAATAGCCGCTACTGTAAAAATTTGTTGTAAGTTTGTTAGAATTATGACTTTCACATGCAAGAACAGCCTTTGCTATTTTATGAGGCCTATAGGGGCTTAAGTCAAAAAGATTTTCGGATAAAAAAATAGCGAAGCCCTAACAAGACAAGGGAACAAAACAGACAGAGTTCCATACAAGTTACAACTGCTTCCTCAGAAAAACCGGAAAATTTTTGAACATGTTTCCATTGACGCAAGTATATCTTTTAAGTTGTATTCTCCATTATTTGATCTTGATTACCTAGCATCGATGTCAAGGATCACAGCTCTAGGATTGTCCAAACCAGATGTTATGAGGCTAAATCTGTATGATCCGTCCAATCGTGACACTTCAATCTTACTAGTTCGATAATCAGTCCAATAAACAATCCGTCCAATCCAGTCAACTGCTATTCCATCAGGATTTTGCACATTACGTTCCGCTATTACTTTAAGATCCGAACCATTGGGATACGATCTAACGATTTGCTGCAATGTCACGTCAGTCCAGTAGACCATGCCCTCAATCGGATCATAATCAACTGCAACTGGTCTGGATATGTTGGTTTTGATCCCCAGAGGAGAGCAAGGAGTGTCTGGTACAGCCAGGGGAACTTTGTAAATTTCTCCGCTATTTGCTTCAGCAAAAAGCATAAACCTGTCGGAGCTAAGTTCCCAAAAAAAATCTGAAAAAAGAAGAAATGGTCAGACAATCACAAGAGAATTCGTATCCTGAAATTTTCAGAATATTCATGAATATTTCTTTCCTATAAAAATGAGGAAATATGTGCTATAGGCGCTCTACCACAACCAATCATATTCTCTTACCATAATTGCAGTTTTTCCCATCAGGTTTGAGTACCACTCCTGTTGGACATGCGCACTGGTGACCTCCTTGCGGCGTAAGCAAGCACAAGTCACTGCAATTTCCATTGTTGATAGCACACGGATGAGACCCTGGTAAAGTTAGAGTCAATTAGTTACTACAGAATTAAAACCAGCTGTTTATGTACCCGGTACAATCATTTTTTAAACATATTTTCAGTTTTTGTAATTATTAATGCACAATCAACCTTTTCTGCTCATTAATGCACTACTTAAGGAGTCAAACTGTGTTTGCTTTTTGTTGTTATTTTTCGTTTGCCTAATAAAATATTTACAGTGCTGACACTCAAACCGGGACACTTTGAAGACGACGGTTTAATCACAACGTTTTCTGAAAACAAAAAATTCTCAAGGTCTTTTTTTGCAAATGGACCAATTAAATTCAAGGTTCCCACTTCGTAACCGTTGAAAACTTTAAATAAATAAATGTTATTGGTCAGTTTGCAAAACAAACAAACAAACAAACAAGCAAACAAAAAATTGAGAATCTTTTGTTTTTAGCGAATTTTGGGCTTTGTGATTAGACAATCTTGTTCCAAGTGTCCTGGTTGAGTGCCCGCACTGTAAAAAGGAAAAGAATTCAGAACGGATACGTAAATAAAGTTTGACTCCTTCATTTTCTGTAGGAGAGCGCCGGAAATCGAGCCTTCACCATTCTCTCATTGATAAAAATCGTAAATAACGTTTAAAGTAGTAAGAGGTACCGTTTAATTACAATAGTTGCTCGTGACGCGTTTTCTTAAGTAAAAACCGATTTACCTGAAAATACACGAGATGAATCGTACAGGTGAATATCCATTGGCTTTTGAAGACCTTGAATGATTAATTCCGTCTTCCCACGGTTTAAATCGTACCGCGAAATGCTTTTACTGTTCCAGTCGGTCCAGTACAAAATGCTCTTATACACCGTCAAGCCAAATGGGTGAATGTCTGCTGAAGATGACATAATCACTCTTCTATTGCCACCGTTGAGGTTAGAAACCTCAATTTTGTCCAGTTTAGCATCAGCCCAGTACAGGAGGTTTGCAGTTGGATCAACAGTTAATCCATTCGGCCAACCAAGGTTTCCTGTTACAATGGTTTGTCTTGACGAGCCGTCCATGGCTGCTTGCTCAATCATTGGGTTAGATCCCCAGTCAGTCCAATACATCGTTCTTTATTAGTACAAACCAAAAATTAACAAGCTTTAATTTTAGTTTTCCGGAAACCATAGAACTACCAGGTTTATAGATCTACATTTTTCGATAACGCTAATTTTGACATCTCATGAACCTCGCCCTGTGAATAAGCTAAGATCACTTAGCTTTAACTAAAAGAAAAATTTAAGTACAGCCGTATACTTTCTAGTCTTCCTTGCAACCGTGTTTCTCTTGTCACGCAACGCTCCTTCCCTCGTGACATAGCCCCTTTAAGTTTTCGTATTGAAGAGCGTTGCGTGACGAGACAAAAACGGCTGCAAGAGAGACCAGCTATATCGTGTTACTCTTTTTCGATTTATAGCTCACCCATTCCTTTCATCAAGTACAATTGCCCTGGGTTCATCGAGCCCATCTTTGATCAACAATTTCCTGCTCGTCCCATCCAGCCGAGCTACCTCAATACGGTTTGTTCCTGTGTCTGTCCAGTAAATATTTCGCCCCACGTGGTCAATGGCCAGGCCATCTGGTACTTTTACATTGCAGCGAAAAAGAACCGTGAACTTCAGTGAAGTCTCATTAGAGACAATGCTGATAATTCGTCCTTGTGCAACATCAGTCCAGTATACACTGTCCTCAACAGGGTCGTAATCCACAGCAATTGGGCGTTGATTTCCAAGAAGCCAGAACACACGCCTTGCAACAAAATAGTTCACATCCAACGAAACAATGTCAGTAAACATGGCATCGGCGTCAGTAAAAATGAGGAATTTATCCATTTCTGCAAAGGGTAACACAAGTTAAAGTTTTTATAAGTAGGTGAAGCATTATCGTCCGGGTTATCGTAGTCCTTAAGGTGACTAGACCCAGTTTTTTTGGAGGGGTACCATCCTACTTTGAAGCTCTCTGGTATCCCCACCTTTACTTTTATCGTAAGTCTAACACATAAAATGGATAACATATAGATCAATCTACAATATAACATAAAATTTTTGGCGATCGGAGTAATGTCACGTGGTTATAAATGCCTCAAAGGGGCGTGGCATTATAACCACGTGACATTTACTCCGATCGCCAAAAATTTTATGTTATATTGTAGATTGATCTATATGTTATCCATTCTATGTGTTAGACTTACGATAAAAGTCACGGTGGGGATACCAGAGAGCTTCAAAGTAGGATGGTACCCCCCTAAAAAACTGGGTCGAGTCACCTTAATAGGACTGTTTTTGACAGTGTCTGAATTTTCTACAACCTGTGCGGTAGTAATCTTCAGCGGAGTCAAAGTGAGTTGTATTACGCCAGTTGGGATGGTATTAAACTCCAGTTATTGACCTGATTGGTCAATCAAGTTGCGATGTCATTTTTCGACTGTTTGTTAAGTCGTCATGTTAAATGTTTATTTGCATTTCAAAACCCGACGAACTACTTTAAGAACAAAGGAAAAGGGAGTCAGCCAAGGTCTTTAGGCAAGTCACGAGTAACCTGTCACCTTAATTTTCTTAGGGTTGACATCTTTTTGTTTTTTGACGTTATCGAGCCTCAAAGAAATTATGATTTTGTTTCTCTGTGTCCTTTTCCCTGCTTTATCTCCTATTCTCATATTTTTTCGTACATAATCACTGAAAATAGCAAATTCGATAGTTCTTGTTTTCATTAAAATACATTGTTTTATTCAAACAATAATACCGTATTTCTTTCCAAGACCTCCCCTAGTGCACGCTCGTCCTTCTGTATGTTACTTTTGAACATGTACAAGACATCGCTGTTCCTAAGACTTACTAGTTAATAAAGGTACCAGAGGTGGATCCAAGAGAATTCTTGGCAGGAAAATGTTTGGACCCAAATAAAACATGGCGGTCAACGGCCTGTTTACATGTTGCTGATGACGATGGTAAAATGAGTTGCAAAACGCCCTGTTGAATCGCGTTTGCCATGTGCTAGAAAACGTGAAATGAACGACATGTTTTTCTGGTGTTACCGCCGGTGAATATTGAGTTTTCCCGGGAGTTTTCCTTGTGTTATCCAAAGTCGGAGAAGGAGTCAGGAACATGAAATTTTCACGACATTAACCGTTTGGTTAAAGTTTTGTTTAACGAGAGAAAACGAACTGTTCAACCCCGTTTTCCACGCCCTGGATAATCAGCATATTTTCCCCCTGTTAACTGATGGTGAATGCCAAGTTGTCCTTGTCTTTTCTGAAGTGAGAAAACGAGTCACGGACGCCATGTTTTCCTTATATTAACCGTTTGGTAAAATTCCCGCTTAAAGAGAGAAAGCGCATTGTTCAACCTCGTTTTCCGTGTGCTGGAAAACATGAACTAAACAGCATATTCTCCTGGTGTTAACGGAATGTGAACGCCGAGTTTTTCTTGCGAATTCCGAAATGAGAAAACGGATCGTGAACTGACGTGGCATTTTCAATACATTAACCGTCGGTAAAATTACCAGAAAATAGGAGATTTTTTGCCGTGAGAAGGGGCGAGGAGGCTTGCCTGTTATACAGATACTATTTGCTGAGATCAGGAGTCAGAATGCATTTGAAAGATTTTATAACAAGGGCTCCTAAGGGGTTTATTGAGGGCTTCTATTCCTCCTATAAATCCTGTAGATTAAATGATTTTGACGGAGGTCTTCGAAATCAGAGATATCTGAATCTACCTATAAGAAGAAGAAGAAGGAGAAGGAGAATAAGGAAAAGAAAAAGAAGAAGAAGAAGAAGAAGAAGAAGAAGAAGAAGAAGAAGAAGAAGAAGAAGAAGGAGAAAAAGGGGAAGGAGAAGGAGAAGAAGAAGAAGAAGGAGAAGGAGAAGGAGAAGGAGAAGGAGAAGAAGAAGAAGGAGAAGGAGAAGGAGAAGGAGAAGAAGAAGAAGAAGGAGAAGAAGAAGAAGAAGGAGAAGGAGAAGGAGAAGAAGAAGGAGAAGGAGAAGATGAAGAAGAAGGAGAAGGAGAAGGAGAAGAAGAAGGAGAAGGAGAAGAAGAAGAAGAAGGAGAAGGAGAAGGAGAAGGAGAAGGAGAAGAAGAAGAAGAAGGAGAAGGAGAAGAAGAAGGAGAAGGAGAAGAAGAAGAAGAAGGAGAAGGAGAAGAAGAAGGAGAAGGAGAAGAAGAAGAAGAAGGAGAAGGAGAAGGAGAAGAAGAAGGAGAAGGAGAAGAAGAAGAAGAAGGAGAAGGAGAAGAAGAAGGAGAAGGAGAAGAAGAAGAAGAAGGAGAAGGAGAAGGAGAAGGAGAAGGAGAAGAAGAAGAAGAAGGAGAAGGAGAAGAAGAAGGAGAAGGAGAAGAAGAAGAAGAAGGAGAAGGAGAAGGAGAAGGAGAAGGAGAAGAAGAAGAAGAAGGAGAAGGAGAAGGAGAAGAAGAAGGAGAAGGAGAAGAAGAAGAAGAAGGAGAAGGAGAAGAAGAAGGAGAAGGAGAAGAAGAAGAAGAAGGAGAAGGAGAAGGAGAAGGAGAAGGAGAAGAAGAAGAAGAAGGAGAAGGAGAAGGAGAAGGAGAAGAAGAAGAAGAAGGAGAAGAAGAAGAAGAAGGAGAAGGAGAAGAAGAAGAAGAAGGAGAAGAAGAAGAAGAAGGAGAAGGAGAAGGAGAAGGAGAAGAAGAAGAAGAAGGAGAAGAAGAAGAAGGAGAAGGAGAAGAAGAAGAAGGAGAAAAAGGGGAAGGAGAAGGAGAAGAGGAAGAAGAAGGAGAAGAAGAAGAAGAAGAAGAAGAAGAAGGAGAAAAAGGGGAAGGAGAAGGAGAAGAGGAAGAAGAAGGAGAAGAAGAAGAAGAAGGAGAAGGAGAAGGAGAAGGAGAAGAAGACGAAGACGAAAACACCTCTAATACAACTCGAATGCATATTGAGAAGAATATTTTCTACTGCAGAGAGAACAGGAGCTGTTCTGATAGCCAAAGTAGCTGGAGACTTACTCTTTTTGCATGTCCTTCCATCTGCCTTCAATGACAAACCAACAGGACAGACGCACTCGTGGCCGGCTGAAGCTTTCACCACGCAAAAATGGCTGCAGCCGCCGTTGTTTGTAGCACAGGAACTTGAAACTTAAAAAAAATCGTAATAAAACATAAATGTGCAAGTAAAGACACTTCTAAGAAAGCAATAAGTGGTAAAGGTTGTTACTAATACTTGCAAAATTATCAGCCTACTCATTACGGCCTTCAGCGATTTAACTGTGCGACCGCGTTAAATCCCAGAAAACAACGGTTTTTCCGGCCTTGCGGACACCCCGCTATAACGGACACCCTGATAAAACGGGACAGCAGCTAAATCACAGTTAACAATAAATTACATGCGTTTGACTGAAATAAAGTCCCGCTAATAAGGACACTAACTAAAGGCCCTTACAGTGTCCGCTATGAAGAGAGTTGCAGACTATACAGCGCCAGATATTTCCGAAAGCGGGCTGTATTTTAACAACGTATCATCATTTTTTTTTTTCATCGTCTAATGTTTGGAGCGAAATGAAATGAAAGAGAGAGACATCCCCCCACCCCCCTCCAAAAAAAATAGAAATAAATAAATAATGCTTACACATACACGCATACACTGGCGTTTCTATAACAACCAGTAACGTTTAAGGGCGTACCAGTTCAAGTGATTGTGCTCCGAAATACGAATAAATGGAATAAACTCTAGCTAGCTTATTCACAACCGTGGGTTCAAATATTTCCAGCGTACGGCCTCAACAAGGCATGCGCATTCCACTTTAAACGAAACCGGTTTTGAAAACCAGTGAGTTTCGACCACAAATATGGTCGGCGGCTACGTGAAAGAACGCGCCGTGGGGCGGCAGAGGTCTCTCTCCTTCATCTCATTTAACTCTTGCCTTGAGAACCCTCTGCTAGCTGGGAACTGGGAACTGGGAACTTTTAAACAATGTAATATGTAAAAGTCTAAAACCTTACCACTGGTAATTATAAAAGACGAATATATATACATATATATAAATTGCACTCGAGAGAATGGTCTTCAAACATGAATTGCTTTAATTGAAACCCAACGCTTGTCGGCTTCTGCCTTCATCAGGGGTTTCTGCTTCGGGTATAATAACAAATGATTAGAGTAACTTACTGTGACGTAATAAAGGGGGTTACAACTTGGTGTTACGGTGCACGAATTTATGCTAATTAGTATATGCCAATGTCTATGTCATATAATGAAAGTATCATGGAGTCATGGTTTCATAGGTTTCCTGGTGTATAGTTTCATCATGTGCATATACTAATTAGCATAAATTCGTGCATCGTAACACCAAGTAATAACCAAAGAGAGTGATTTAGTAATCACGTGCCAATCAGTTTTGGACTTAGGGATACGTTTATTCAGTCCAGTAGGTTGCAGAGTTTTTAGCCTACTTTGCCAAAATATTTCCTTTTTGCGGAGTAATTTTTTTTCCCGTTCAACAGTCATATCAATATGTTTTATTTGCTATATATAGAGAGAGAGCTCCCTTGATGCAAACTTTAGCTTGGGAATATAAAACCAAAATAGTCAGAGATGGTCGTAGCCAGAGGTATCTCAACTACGAAAAACAAATCAAAACAGAAAAAAAAAGAAAAAGAGTTTGCCTGTTTAGCTAGCTGCGCAAGCCCTTTTGGCTTTCTCATCAATGTATGACTACAAGTTGGGCTTAAAAGAAAACCCCCATAAGATAAGAGGATGAATACTGTGATAGATTGGGGCACAATTTGATTTTACCTGGAGGTTGAGAGTCCCATAAAGTGCAAAAGATACGAGGTTGAATACAATGTAAGTTTGGGACACGATTCACTTTACCTGGAGGCTGCCTGGAACGGTCATATGCAACGATGCCCATGGGCCTACCGGTGAAGCTGACTCTGCTGACAACAAAGTACCCGGTCATTGCGTCAACTTGGTGAATCTGGCCGTTTGAAGCCCAGTCAGTGAAAAACAGGAAAGGAGGAATGATGGCTACTCCAAAACCATGAAAATTAGTTATTGGCCCAAGCAGTTTCCTGTTATTACCATTGTAATCGACAGATTCTATTCGATCCACAGCTCCATCTACCCAATAAATGCGATTATTCCATCTGTCAAGCTCGATCCCATTCGGCCATTTGATGTTTGAAGTGACTATAGCAACTCTCTGACTCCCTGTTAAGGCTGCTTTTTCGATTTTAGGGCTGGAACCCCAATCTGTCCAAATCATCAGCCTGTCAATTTATAGAAGACATAATTATTCATCTGCCAGTACATATTATAACATAACACAAGTAAATCGCGCGCTCTGATTGGTCAGTCAGCCACTACCATTTGCCCGTGGGTGCACGCCAAGAAACTGAGCTAGCGCGGTAAAATTTAGGCAAATTCAACAAATCTCCTCTCCTGACGGTAAAATACACCAATGAAATGCACAGATGAAAAGTGGAAGTTGAAGAAAAATACTAAGCTGTCGTTTTGAAGGAAAAAAAGACAAAAGATCAAGCGACAAATTTGCCCTGGATGAATGAATCACTGTTTTCCTCGCGCTAGAATCGGCTGAAGGAAAATCGAGCGAGCGAAGATTTAAGGTACATTTTGTGTGTTTTTTATAGAAGAGAACTCTATTTGAAATGTAAATTTATCAATTAGCATTGTGTTATTGACTTTTTGATCAAGCTGATGCTAAATTCAAGCAAATATTTTAGGAAACACGCTCAAATTCTAGACAGCTTTGTTGTGAAGTTTTCATCGCATCGATTAAAAATTTTAGTTGAGTTTAAACGGGCACATTACGCTGGAATAAGCGAATTTCATTTGAGTACAGAAACATTTGGGTTTTCAAATAAATTTTTCAAAAAATAAATTCTGTGTGTATTATTTTGTTCCTCAGTGTTCATTCATAACAGTCGTTCAGAGAACGGTCTAAAAACAACAGCTTCAGCGCCGGCTGTGTGTCGGCGAATTTCAGTTGCAACTTTGACTTTCATAGCTGGATTTCCCCAGACAGATTTCGATACAAAGCTAGTTAATTTCTTTTTGAAATTAGTGTTACCTTTTATCCTTAAGGAATTACGGTCAAATTTTCTCATTTCTACTTTACGTTTATTTCAAAAATTGTCACATAAATAAGCTTGATAATTATTTCATTTATTTAGGTTTAGCTTAGTTTTTAGAGTCTTTTTGTTTATAGTTGCAGCTATAGTTTTCCCTCAAAGTTTTTACCCTAATATTAAGAGCAAGTAGACAGATGCCATTCAGAATAACAACGAAAAACGTTTTTGCAATTTACCTGAAGACGGAGAACGGTTGATTCAGCGAAAGAAAAACTCAAAGGCAAGTTTTTGAAAAACATAGAACGTGATTTGTTTACGCGCGGGCAGATGGCAGCATACATGAACTAGAACCGATGACTCAACTGAAGGCAAATGGAAAATAATGTTTTCCTCTTTCGATTATGTTATAAAAGAAATGGTAAACGTTGCAGCTGTGCAACCATGGAGTTATGGATGCACTTGGGAGGTTTGCTAAGCACTCAAGAAGCTAGAGTCGCACTCGGCTATCGCCTCGTGCGACTCTTACGCTTCTTTCGTGCTTAGCAACCTCCCGCGTGCATCCATAACTCCATGGTTGCACGCTGCACGTTTACCATTTCTTAAATACTGCATGTTAAACCATCACAGAAAAAAATGAATTAACAAGTTGTTGTCTTTTTACTATTATCATTACCATCATAATCATCATCACCATCGTTATAATCATCGTCATCGTCATCATCATAATCATTATTATTATTATTATTATTAGAATGATGATGTGAACTGCGGAAATACAAATTTAAATGAAGCAGAAGGAGGGGCCATCTCATGTGTGACTAACGGGCGACAGCCGTAGGGTCGCTTGTCCAAATTTGCAAGGGACACAATAGTCATTCCAACAAGACCGGTCAGAGAGGTCGGGGAGAAGATTAAATGAGCTAGGCAAAAATTGCTATACATTGCTAATTTGATCACTATAAAGTGTGTGAGCTTTGTTGTCGCTTTTATTTGCTTGCCATAAACCGTCTTGGTATTTTGTGTCCGTGATTGTGTAATTTTGGTAATTTTGTGTCGCGGACCGTATTGCAGGATCGCCATCTTCTTTCAGTTACGGGACCACCAAGTGCATAAAAAATTATTTCTGATCATTTTTTCTCTAAAATTGGCTATATCTAGTCTCCAGAATAGGAGGTTCTATTAAGAGCATCGATCAGTCGGCCTTTTGATTCTGAAACAATGCGAAATAGCCTCGAAATACGTGCTTAAGCTATTTTAATTTTTTCATTTGTACCTTTGAATTCATGATAACTACAGCTCAACCAGCTTCAAACAGCGTCTATGGCAGACAAAAGTGGTTTTTAAATAACAAATTGAAAGCTGAAATCAGGGACTCTAAGCAAGAAGACTAAGGAAAGTTCTAGTATGATGTCCGGAAGTAATTTTTTTCTCCACCGGCAGTGCCTCAAGTCAGGGAGTTTAAGATACCACGACGACTATATAGCGGTGAGAATGTCGCTTAAAATTGCGATAATTCCAATTAACTCGCGTACTTTGTCAAATGTTGGTGAACTCTACTGAGGTTGAAGCCGTGCAGTGACCCCCCCACGGTAAGGAAATGGTGAAAAAAAAACCCTCATAAAAAAACAATGCATGGGCAAATTCAGGGATTGTTTGTGTTTTATAAGTTTCATTCACAGCACTTGGTGAGATGTATCCCTTATGAAATCCTCTCTCCCGTCAACTGTGTTTTGGGTATTTAGCTGTATTTTTCACTTGGGTGTCGTGCTTGACACCGAAATTTGATGCTCATAATCGAAAAATGAGCCTTCAGAAATTTCCAAGGATGACCAAAAAGGGATAAAATCGGTAAATCTTGCGATTCTGTTTCAAATATACAGTGGCGTTCTAAGCACGTAAAATGCAACTAAATACTTAACGTACGAGACACTACGGCCCTCCATGATCTTCTACGTATTCGGGAAGCGTAGCACGGCCAGTCAATAAGTTTGATTAGCAAATCAAGAACTTTGCCCGTGCATCTTATTGGTTTATCAACATTTCCTGGTGTCAGTAGTTTCATCATGTGCATATACTAATTAGCACAAATTCGTGCATCGTAACACCAAGTAATAACCAAAGGGAGTGATTTAGTAATCACGTGCCAATCAGTTTTGGACTTAGGGATACGTTTATTCAGTCCAGTAGGTTGCAGAGTTTTTAGCCTACTTTGCCAAAATATTTCCTTTTTGCGGAGTATTTTTTTTTCCTTTCAACAGTCATATTAATATGTTTTATTTGCTATATATATAGAGAGAGCTCCCTTGATGCAAACTTTAGCTTGGGAATATAAAACCAAAATAGTCAGAGATGGTCGTAGCCAGAGGTATCTCAACTACGAAAAACAAATCAAAACAGAAAAAAAAGAAAAAGAGTTTGCCTGTTTAGCTAGCTGCGCAAGCCCTTTTGGCTTTCTCATCAATGTATGACTACAAGTTGGGCTTAAAAGAAAACCCCCATAAGATAAGAGGATGAATACTGTGATAGATTGGGGCGCAATTTGATTTTCCCTGGAGGTTGAGAGTCCCATAAAGTGTATTTCGAAAATAGCTTGCTTGATTAGTTGTGAAATTTCTTAGTTTGTTGCGGCAGCAAACCGGGAAAGCATTTTGCTCGCAACCTACGCGAGGTTGGCGTCGCTCGCTCGGAGGAACTGGAGGTGAATCAGTGAATAGTGCAGGATATTCACTGATTGAGTACTGTTTTAGTAGATACTAAATAGCAATATTTGCCAAGCTTTTAATTTTTTTCCCCGACCTCTTTTGTTCGAATGACTATGGTGTCCCTTGCAAATTTGCACAAGCGACCCAACAGCTGTCGCCCGTTNAAGAAAAAGAGTTTGCCTGTTTAGCTAGCTGCGCAAGCCCTTTTGGCTTTCTCATCAATGTATGACTACAAGTTGGGCTTAAAAGAAAACCCCCATAAGATAAGAGGATGAATACTGTGATAGATTGGGGCGCAATTTGATTTTCCCTGGAGGTTGAGAGTCCCATAAAGTGTATTTCGAAAATAGCTTGCTTGATTAGTTGTGAAATTTCTTAGTTTGTTGCGGCAGCAAACCGGGAAAGCATTTTGCTCGCAACCTACGCGAGGTTGGCGTCGCTCGCTCGGAGGAACTGGAGGTGAATCAGTGAATAGTGCAGGATATTCACTGATTGAGTACTGTTTTAGTAGATACTAAATAGCAATATTTGCCAAGCTTTTAATTTTTTTCCCCGACCTCTTTTGTTCGAATGACTATGGTGTCCCTTGCAAATTTGCACAAGCGACCCAACAGCTGTCGCCCGTTAGTATGTGACGTCACACCGGCAGTAATGAATCGGTCACAGACAAACACTTGAAAACAACAGAGATGGCCCCTCCCTCCTAAAATGAAGTTATGATCGTCGAAGTGGTAATTGCAATTTAAGCAATTAACCACTACAGAAAATATCAGAACATACCATAATGCTCTTTGTTTGTCACCCTAAAATTTTGCATAAGTATTGTCTTTAGTTTCTCTTGGGCGCCAAAACGGCCCCTAGAGAAACTGAAACCAATGGTTATGTAAAATTCTGGGGTGACAAACAAAGAGCATTATGGTATGTTATGGTATTTTCTGTAGTGGTTAACTGCTTAAATTAAATTTGCAATGGTCAATTGCAAATTAACTGGAAAAAAGAAATTTCGGGACTTCAACGGGATTCGAACCCATGGCCTCTGAAAGCGCTTCAGAACTCTAACCAATTGAGTTATGAAGACCAACGCATTGGGAGCAGGCTAATTTGTTGACTTCATCTTCAGCGGTAAAAGGAATGAAACATAAAATGATGATGTGAACTGCGGAAATACAAATTTCTTATTCATATTATTATTTATTCATTTATTTTCACCAAAATTATCAATGAGTTTCAGCGATACCGTTAAATGTTTGCAATTTTTTCAGGCTTAAGATAGTTCACTTAAAAGCGAATAATCGGTCTAATCTAGTCATTGCGGCCGTTGACAAAACAGGACGAGCAAAAGAAAAACAGACTTGAGGAAACTCACCCCTTATCAGGATCCAAAGCGATATCTCTAGGTTTATTAAGTCCCAAGGATAGCACTGTTTGCTGGTTATTACCCGACAGGTCAGATTTGGATATCGTATCTTGAGTAGTATCAGTCCAGTACAATTCTGATGTTATCCATTGAACTGCCAATCCATCGCAAACACCAACATTGGTGATAATTGTCGTGATACTGGACCCGTCAATACCTGAACGTTTTATGTTCCGCTCAGAAACATCACTCCAGAAAATGTAACGCTTTTCAAAATGAACATCAAGTGCCACAGCTCTGGTTAATCCAGTGACCACAGAATGTACAGCAGACGTTTTGTAGTCGACGGCGATGATATCCGTAGTGTTGGAAAACAGAAAACATGGAGGACTACATATGGCGGCTACAAGAAAAAATATCCACGTTCACTATTGACTGTTACAGAGAGATGATACTGACGCATTACAAACCAGTTAAGTTAGAATTTATTCCTTTGCTTAACATACACTTAAAGGAGCTACGTCACGCCCCTATTTCCCCTCTTTTTAAGAGCGACGGTCACGGAAAATCGACCAAAATCTTAATTTCGTGGCAAGAGTTGAAAAATCAATTTCTTTCATTTTTTGTTCATAGATAGCTTTTAGGTAGATAAGAAACCTAAAGTAGATTGTTCCTGCCGAAAGCTTTTTATTTGTGAGAAAAATTAGAAGATCGGTTTTCGATGCCGGAGTCTCAGACTGCCCTAATTTTTAACCTGAAATTCGCTAACATTAACTTTCCTCGCGTTCGCAAACGAAGCCGGATGGAGAAATTTGGACATTTTCCATGAACAGAAAAATTCTTTTTCTTCCACTAAAAGATACTTTCTGGGCAATAGCGAAGCTCGTCGTACTGAAATAATTAAAAAATGAGGGATAGGTTTTCAGGATAACAAAACCTTACGTTCGTTACTCATTTTCGACGGCGATATTTAACATGTGGTATATAGCCAAATTCTCTTAATGCTATTTAAATCACACATTTAGACATTCATTTAAAACATACCTGGGAATTGGCTTGGGTTATTGAATGTAATCTCCGTAAGACACCATCGAAGTTCAGGAATTTTCATGGTAGGCCGGCGGTAATTGTGTAAACACTTCCCATTTCGAAACTCACAAAAGTAGATATTTACAGCCTAAAGGCTCGTTTTTTTGTACTTCTCGTAGGTTTTCCCATTGCAAAATTTCTTTTTCCAATCAAAAAGTGGGGTAAAAAGGTGAAACTGGGTCAATTTTAGCCATTTTGAAACACTGAACACTACCAAACGGCGACTCTGCGTGACAATCTGTTCCGTGACTGCACGTGACATAACGTACGTTTGAAGAGGCGGAGCCGTTGAAATGACAGTCACGGAATCACGGTAGTAACTATCCCCGGAGACCCAGGGGCAAAACCAAAGTTTTCTGGCACCAATCAGAAGTCAGAACGGCGGCGACCGTTTGGAACTGGTCTGGTAAGACATTGTCCCCAGGGGCTCTTCTTGCCGTTCTTTACTTTTCTTCGTGCCATATTTTTCCGCTCGTTCAGACTTTCCCTCGCCCCCACTATCTTTCCCTGGGTCTCCGAGGATGGGTAGTAACGCAACGCAGTTCTTGAAAGAGCAACATTTTCGATCCCGACAGTATTTTGAAGAAGAAAAAGTCAAACGCGCTTTTTCTGGTACTCACTTTTTATCGAAGATATGGACTTTAACAATGGTAATTCGCTAAGGATGACGGAACAGGAAGATATTTCGTCTTGTTACTTTATGATCGAGGAAACTTGGAGCCGTCAAATAAGTTATTTTGGTCACGCTTCACTATTTTTACCGGACTTCGATGCTTTCGTTTGGAGGCTGCCTAAAGGAACCCAAGCCAATTCTCAGGTATGCTTTAGATGAATGTCTAAATGTGTGAATAACGAGGACCGGGAAAATTTGGAGCTATACCACATGAAGGAAAATGCCGCAGAAAACAACTACTAAATTATAGTTTTTGTCATCGTAAAAACCTGTTCTTCGTTTCTAAATTATGTTAGTTCAACGAGTCTTGATATTGCTTTGAAAGTACCTTCTAGTGAAAGAAGAAGAGTTGCTCTATGGATGGAAAGTGTCCAAATTTCTCCT